CATACTAAACGGTAGTGAAGTCACAGAAATTTCTTAGTAAAACCTTGTCACAACTGTCAACAAATCATTCTTTATCCAGAAATTGTTTTTAATTCTGGCACTGTGGTTGCTCAACGAGCTAGTAGGAAGGGCTAATTATTGACAAATAAACTCATTTTCTCAAAAGTCCTGCAGAAAAAGACTAACTGCTAAATAAACCAGATTCTTCTCTGGTGCCAAATCAATGTTTCCATGGATTTTCTCCTTCCTCTGGTTCCTTTCTGTCCCTCCCCTGATGCTGGCAAATGATTGTTCCTTATAGTGACCATAGCTAACTCACAATACCTGGACATACCTTAATTACAAGATGGATGAAATGCTGCATATTCTATATTCTGGGGTGGTTTTCCCATATGACACTATGTGCAAGAGTAATGCAAATGAATTAGGCTAAAACCAAACAGACAAAAAGCTCCCTTGAAATACATTAAATTGACTATTCTAACACGCAGGCTATAGATCCCTTTAGTTGGCATGCTAGAGCTGACTAGAACACACTTTCTGAAAAGTGGTAGTGTTTGAGTGGAGGGATGGGGTGGAAATGGGCTTTTGAGTCTTAAAACCTGCATGTTTCCAATTCTGCTTATCGACTTAACAGCCCCCTTTAATAGCTGAAGTTTCTTCTAAAGATTCTTTCATTCTCTATCCCATATACTACCATTTCATCTTTGGAGAATTGTTTCAAAATGGTTAATTTTTAAATTACAGAATTCTGTCACTTGCAAGTCATCACTCACAGTCCCAGTTGCTAAGCTTAGATCTTTTGAGACTGTTAGTGCACAGCACAATTAGTTAGACATTCCCATTTTCTCTGCAGATTTGGGGCCAAGAGGCAACTGACACACAGAATGCAGCTGCACAACATTAGACACATTTTTCATACAGCAAATTATGCCTCTTAAAGCTAAAACCTGTAACTTGACCATTTAAAGATAGTTCAGTGGTAGAGCACTTGCCGACCCACTGCAAGGCTCTGGTTTAGATCCCCTGCACCACAATAATAAATAAATAAGGTTGCATAAAAGTGACTCTTAGAAATGCAATCCAAGAAGGGATTCAAGGAAAATCATCACAGAAGCCTACTGAAAATGATTACTGGGCTACAGAATCTGCCCTTTAACTCATATAATTCTTATCATTATTTAAAGTTTTAGAAATACTGGCTGAAGATTTTAATGTTAACTAGGATTCACTTTTAAAATTAATTATTGAAAACATGGGACAGTGCCTGAATATTAATTTTGGTGGGGAGGAGGGAATTATTAGATAAATTTAACAAGTTGGGTTTTTGAAAGTTGCATAAAAATATTGAAACTTGGTAATTTTCTAAACAATTTCTCCCTAGCTATACAGTAAGCAGCAATGGAAACTAAGTTTTAAGTACGTTCTTTTAAAATGTACTCAAATACTTAGACTAAATGTCTGGAAAAATGTTAAAAAGCAAAACACATTTTTTTCCTTTCCTGGGGCCAGGCCAGGATGGCATTTATGTTTCTGAAGCAATACACAAAGCCAAGCTGGAGGTTTCGGAGGAAGGCACCAAGGCATCAGCAGGCACAGGTATGTCCAGAAACCCCCACCACACGCTGGCCCCTGTCTATCTACCCTTGCTAAATGTGACCAGTTGCATCCATTCTAAATCTTTCCATTAAAAACCCCAGTCCAGAAGTTAGTATAACATTAAAAAAAAAAATGTTAACAGAAAACAAAAACATTTTTGAAAAATGGAAGAGATTCATTTTGGAAAGGATTTATACCATCATCTCGTAAACAAGAAATAGAATCATTTTAAAAATTATCTTTAAAATTACCTTCTATAAGAAATTTATTCCATGGAATCTTTGAAAAATAAGAGGCTCGGCTGTTATCTTTTATTCTTAATTTTCCCTTTTGCACCCACCTTAAACACCAAAAAATGAAATGTCATAGAATGCTTTGGTTTCTTTCAAAAAAAAAAAAAAAAGGTATATAATTGAATTTGTACCCAATCTAAATTGTGCTTTTCTTCAGATAAATAACAGATATAATGGGATTCTTCCATTCTTTCTTTTCTTGCAGCTCTGTTGTTACTTAAAAGGTCTCGGATTCCTGTTTTTAAGGCAGATCGGCCATTCATCTTTTTCCTGAGAGAACCCAGCACAGGTATTTTTTAATAGGATTGAGATAATTAAATATTTATGAATAAATGGCTCATCTGTTCCTACAACCTAAAACAGGCAATCCTTCTAGCTATTTCTATAGTGTTTCAGAAGCTTTTCAGTTGTGAATTTGTCTTATAGTCTGACTATTTTATAAGTACAGCAGAACTATTATTCTCCATGTTTTCTGCCTTTTTGTTCTCAGTTTATAGCTTTTTTTTTTTTAATTCTGTAGGTATCTACTTTTGGGGAGACTAAGAAATCATGATGAAAGTAAATAGCTTTTTTTTTTTTTTTTTTTTTTTTTTTTTTGATGGCACTAGGGGATTGAACCCAGGGCCTGGTACCTGCTAGGAAGTACTCCACCATTAAGCTATAACCCCTACCTCTATATCGGCTTTCTTCCCCTGGCCAGTTGTTCTCTAGGCTTTCCTATCATTTTAGGAAAAGACAGTTTCCTCAGGCCCCAAGAGTGTCTCAGAGAACACCCCTAGTGACTCTAGAATTCTAGTGAATTCATCTGGATTTTTATATTGTTCTTCTATTTATCTTTCTCAAAAATCAAATATTTGCCTTAGAACTTTTTAAGTCCCACTATATAGTCTTATCTCAACCCAAAGATGGTGTGATACAGGCAATGCCTTGCACATCACAAAGAAAAGCAGATGTCCTTTAAGCTTCAATAACATGATACAAAATCTTTAAATTATTTCTCTTAATGTTCCTCCTCCCCCCCCCGACAATATTTAGGAATGAAGAGATTCTCAGTAAAGAGTTGTTGGCAAGTCTAAACAGTGTATTAAAAATAAATAGGATGGAACAAGACTAATAAAATGAAGCAAAGGTGGATCTACTTTAACTAAACATCAGGCATTACTTTTATTTATGGAGAGGGAAAAAAAGTCAAAAGTTAGAATTATGAAAATTAAGCATAGTTTTACACAAATTAAAGAAATACTGTCAACATCATTTTATCTGAGAATCATTTGCATACTGCCATTACTTGCACTAGAAATAAAAGGAACATTTTTGTGACAAAAGGATGAAGATAATCTATGAAGGGATTATTTGGGGAGAAAAAGTCCATCAACAGAATATATCCACTTAGTATTATCACCATGATCTGCCCAACCCCATAGTGATTAGATGAAAATGTCACTTATCACTCAGGACAAGCAGCATAGAGTCACATGTCAAAAAAAAAAAAAAAGGTAGGTTCTACTCTCAAGAAACCAAGATAAGGCTAAACTTTAACAGAAAGGTCATTGCCAAATGCTGATAAGCCAATAAAGATTGATGACAGTTAAAGAGAGATTCTATTAACTGCATAAAAATGGTGTACAATTCTTGAACTAGGAAATGACACACCACTTTAGTTTTCAGAACTGCCTTAGCAATCAGAATTAAAATATAAGGCTAATTCAAAACTAGTTCAATAATCCACCACAAATCTAAGCATAGCCTTTGTGAATTTGTTTACATTTCTTTCTGGAAGGCTCTTGTCCATATCACCCAAATCAAAGAGGCTATTGACAGTTACTGAGAAAATTAGAAACAAGTCTCGGCCTTCACTACTCCAAACTGACAAAGCTTAAAGATAAGAGCAACTAATGAATCAATCGACAAATTAGACACACGGGAACATTTTTTTTAAAAGCAATGTAAAAACTTCCAACATTAACCTTTCAGAAAATACCATTTGCCAATGTAAGGTCATTTAGTGATCTAAGAGTTTCAAGACATACCTGCCTCAGATATCATATTTTTCTTTGCTGACAAGAATAATTCTCTAACAAGTATTTCACTAAGTTAACCAACTCATCTGTAGTTTTTGTTTGTTTGTTTTAAATAAATGAAAGAAGCCTGAGAGAGATGAGATATTAAACTTGGTTGTGATGGGTTTCAAACTCTGTGACTAGATTTTTGGCATGAGGTTATGTCATGGAAGAGAGATAAAGGTCAAAAAGAGGAGACAGAATAAACTGATACTTCCAAGTCCCTATAGAGTTCTTTCTGAAAAATGTACTAAAGGTCAAGGGTCTAAAGAATCATTACTTCATAAGCAATCTGTGAAATGGAAATCAACTATTGCCAGGCATGGTGGGTGGCGCATGCCTGCAATCCCAGCAACTCGGGAGGCTGAGCCTGGAGGATGGCAAGTTTGAGGCCTGCCTCAGCAACTTAGCAAGGCCTTAAGCAATGTAGGCAAGACCCTGTCTCTGAAGAAAAAAGGGCTGGGGATGTAGCTCAGTGATACAGTGCCCCTGGGTTCAATCCCCAGTACCAAAAAAACTGCCATTGGAATTAATCTTTTTCATATATATTAAGTATGAACTTCTATTTGAATGACTTATGTCTTCTATTACTCTGAATCTAAATACATAAAATTCAAGACCAGACAGTACATTCTGGATTTTGTGTAGCTCTTGCTGAATTTAGCAATGTAACTATGGGCAATTACTTGAATAACTCCAATTATTAAATTGTATCTTGCTTTACTTGATTATATTTTATAAAGGTAAAAAAAGGTTCAAAGAATTGCATATGAAAATACTATATAATGTTACATTAAATGCTTCTTTATCTTGACAGGATTTGTCTTCAGTATTGGGAGAGTTTCAAATCCCCTTGACTGAATTAAGCAGATCTCAAGGATGTTCTACATTTTCATGTGTTTTTCTTCATAAAAATTTTAGTTACAATTTCATTTTGCTATACCTTTGACATTTAAAAATGTTCTGATAAAAGTGTATAAAGACAAGGGTATGTGATTTTCAAATGTTATGAAGCTAAAAATACTTCAATTTTATTATAATTTTATAGACATATTTGTCCTCTCAATTCAAATCTAAAAATTTAACCTTTTCTACTAGTTACCCTCAAAACTACTAAAAGGCACAGCAGTGATCTATGAATGGTGAAATTATCAAGTCACAGGATGGCATCCTCAATAAGGATAAAGAAGGTCACATTGGATTGAGGGTGGAGAATGGATGGTTTCCGTTTCGGTTTTCCTCAGCCTGTATAACTCAGAGGGAATGCAAAATGAACAAAATCATCTTAAATCTGTTTCCTTTCCTATTTAGCTTCTAAATAAAATTGAGAGTTTAAGTCTGAGAATTGCAGAGCAGAATGAAGAGATCACCGCTAAACCTCTAATATGTCATGCATGGACTTTTATAAGCTTGGCATGGCATCAAACTTGCTAAAGGCAAGCTATTACAGAGTGTGTAGCATTCCCCAAACTTACCACTCCCTAACTAACAACTTCAAGTTAGTACCATCCAGAATCCTATGAGAAAAGAAAAAGGGTTGAAAGGAGATAAGGAAATCAGTAACTTCCAAAGCTGTCTGCTTTTTAAAACAGCTTTTAGAGTCTATCTGCTGCCACAGACATAGCCATTTCCATGATCCAAGCAGAAATGGGAATATATTGATGTGGCCAACAAAAGCTATGAACAAATAGTAAAGAAACAATGCAGATCATGTAACATGTAATTACAGTTAGATTTAACAAATATGAACTTCAAGTGGTGTGTTTTCCAATGCTAAAAAGCAAGGCCTTTAAGGCCATTATCTAAGGATGTTTTGTAAATGATTATTTTGAATGTGATTATTTCCTAAACCACACAAGAGTAAAATAGAGCATTTATTGATGGAATAACAAAAGTGCTTTCTTAAATATTCTTCAAAATACATTTGTACAACTTACAATAATATATCCAAAATAACTGTATATACAAAACATTACCTAGTTTTAACGTATGTGCTTTTTTCCCCAAAAATTACAAAGTAACTTCTTATTAATTTTTTTTTTTTTTTTGGCAAAGTTCAACCTTAACAGAGGTGACAATTTTAAAGGTTGGTTTAAGAAAATAGAACCTGAGGGAAATTGACACGCAAGAGTCAATGACAAGCAAGAGATTTGGAGGAATATTTTTAGTTTGTTAAATAAAAATGTTTTTTAGAGTGATACTTTTCACATTACAAAAATAAACCAAAATGAAGAAAAGGTCACTGTAAAATGATGGAAAAAGGATCTGTAGATTTGCTTTTAGTATTTCAAATAGCCAACAATGCATGTCAAAAAATGAATGCAAGATCACAACAGTCTTGTATTTACTTTGTATTTGGAGAAGATAGTGAAATAAGTGGCCACATTCTCATTTTCCTTTAATTGCTATTAATATGGTTGATCTGATTGGCTCTTCGATGAATTTCATCCAAGAAGTTCTCCAGTTGTTCTATTAGCATTCGTTTTTTAAACCTGTTTGGAAAACAAACAATAGTGTTCTCAATTACTTTTTAATGGATGACATATACCAGAATATATGTTTTTAAAATAGAAAAAAATCTGCTTTGGGGAAGATTTTTTAAAAAGTGAAATGAAAATCAACACTCTATGACATAAAATCTATTGATGAAGATTTGTAAACTATTACTTGTGCCCAAACAATATTGGTTTGTTCCTGCAACAAATATAGACCTACAAATAGCAAGAAAGGTGTTATTTTTCCTACAACCATAAGAGTAAAAGCAGGGCAAAGGGAATACTAACATATGCAAGCATTCCAAATACTCAGTAAAATTTGGACTCCCAAAGCAATCACTGTACTATATTCTTCTGCTCTTTGAAAGTTGAGTGTTGAAAGGAATGTGAACAAAACATGAATTACACAAAAAAGAAGAGAGAAATGAAAATTGGGTAGTTGCATTTAAAAACAAGGGTGTTCTACTATTATAATTTGAAAGATAGCAAATCAAGGATAATTAGATAGCTATTATACAGGAAACAATTGAAAGTTTTGAGTGTTAATTCTTGAAAAATTTAAGTAATAAGCATAGGTAGATTAAAATTGCACTCATTTATATAAATGTAAATATCACTGATTTTTTTATAATATCCTGAAACACTACTAGACATTCCATTCTTACTTCCTCTTATTTGTAAAATAACACAAATAGTCACCATATTACACAACTCTCTAAGAAGTGGAGTTCAGGTATCAATATTCTAGCTAAATTCAGGATGAAGTTTGAACTCACCAGAAAAAAGTTACAAAGAACAAATTATGTTAAATATTCAAATTTGTATGAAAAATTATGACCTCATCCTGATAGACCCATGCTCTAGCAATGCCAAAAGAAAGAGAAAAAATTAACTGCTCTCTCCAAAATTTTTTATAATATAGCATGAAATAAACAGGGGACTAATTGAAGGATAAGTATGTTTATATTTGAATCAGATTAAATAAATCCTAATGTTTCTCATAATACTAAAATTTGTCTTGAAAGAAAAGTAGAAAATGTTTTTAAGCTTTATGTACAATTATGCTTTCCAATTAACTGCACTTCATAGTTTACATTTATAACCTTGATCCACATTCCTTGTACTAAAGTACATAATCCTGGACTACTGAAACACTAACACTCTGAATAAGGACCATTTGCTGAACTCTGGTCCCCTTGATTACATGTACTCCCATGTACAAACTAAATGCATTCAAATATTGCCTTTCTAAATTATTTCTAATCACCAATTTCTATTAATATAAAAAGGTAAAAAACTAAAGGCTATAAAACACAAAACACCAGGGGAAAAAAAAATACAGAGAAGGATGAATAATAATATTGAAAATACTTAGTCATCTGCAGGGAGAAAAGTTCCATAATTCCTGAATAATTTCTATGTGGCTCTTTTTCCCCCCCTGGGTGGTACTGGTACATCCCTAGCCCTTTTTTATTTTTCAGAGAGGGTCTAAATTGCTCAAATTTGCTATCCTCCTCCCAAAAGTCATTGGGATTACAAGTGTGTGCCACCACTGACAGTGTGGCTATGTTTTAAGAGAATTCTTGTTGGGCATCGTGGCACACATCTATAATCCCAACATCTCTGAAAGGCCTAAGGCAGGGGAATTACAAGTTCAAAGCCAGCCTCAGCAACTTATCGAGGCCCTAAGCAACTTATGGGAGACTCCATCTCTAAATAAAATATAAAAATGGGCTGGGAGTGTGGCTCAGTAGATACGTGCCCCTGGATTCAATCCCCAATACTTCCCATCCCCCTGAAAAGAACTACATATATATCTCAGCGTGCCATATGTATGGATAAACAAAAGTAAATAAATAACAAATACTGTTAAAATACTGCCTATGTAAACTGGAAACTCATTTCAAGATAATTAATAATAAATAAAACTGTTTATTTTACCTTGATGCTTCTTTAATGACATTTTGTAAAAATATTAGTCTTGTTTGTAAACTGCCTTGYACATGCTTCAGTAAAGTGAAGATTCTTTCATATTCTTCAAACAAGAAAAAAAAAATAAGTGGCTTTCATTTATATTTTCATTCATTACTTTTCATCTTGCAGTTTTTTATATTAAGGTACACTGAGACCAAAAAAGTTCTACCTAAAAATATCACCATTCTTTAAAGATTTTATAATACATTTTAATATATCTATGTGAAAGAAAATATTTATCAATAAAAACTAAATAATTTGTCACTTTTTTTGGCAAAAGCTCTCATTAAGGTTTTAAACAAAGCTTAGAAGGATGAATAAAAAGCTTTTCAGTAGTACCATTGAAAGGTAAGAGGCAAATGGCTTTTTACAAAAATCCCTCCTTATAATTTAAATTCTAAATTAAACTATATGGTGGGTAAAAGGAAGGGAAAAACACAAAAAGAATAAGGGTGCTGTTGGAATCTCAATGTTTCACATACAACTCTGCCAAGGACTGAATCTTACCCTCTTATGGCCTACCTACAGATCACTCATTGATCTGCTAACATCTTCTGAATGAATATCAGTAATATTCAGATTTTTTCCCCATAAAGTTCTTTTGCATTCATAAAGTACAAAGCTTTCATAATTTTAGTTTTTTGGCCTAAACATATTCTTTGTCACTGCCGTAGTTTAAAACTTAAACACAGTGGTAGGCATTAGGATGAGAACTTTACAGATATAAAATTATTTAATATTAACTATATCTTTTTTTGGGGTGAGTTGCTATATTAAAATTCTAGTTCTTGTCAGAATACTCAAGACTGTTATAGTAGGAGCTACAGGTAATTTATCTGCATGTTCTTCTTTAGCTTTCAGGCCTTGCTGCCTTCCACACCTGGACATAGCCAGATATTCTGCAGAATAAAGAATCAAATTAAAAGTAGCTCAGATGTTGTTCAAGACTGATCTAGAATCAGATATATACTTTTACATAATTTGACTTCTGATTTTTTTGAGCACATACAGAAAATAAATCTGAGATTTGTCTCTAATTATACATACTTCTTCCTGGCTTTCGGATCTCTTTCATTATTTGTGCTTTTAGTTCAGTATTGACCTCTTCGTGGCTTCGGCAATGCATCAATTTCTTTCCTTTATTGAGTGAAGAAGCTGGTATATTCTCTTCAGCACATTGTTCTTTATCTCTTGGCGGCTCATGATTTTCTAAAAATCCACCAACAGTGAGGTCATTAGTTCCTAAATGATCATGACCAAGAGCCTCTGTATGATTGGTTGGTCGTTCCAGTAAACTGGCTGAAGATGTTGAAAATTCAGTATCCATAGCATTTGGTGTAATGTCTGATGAAAGTTGGTCTGCAACATGATTTTCAACCACATCATCTATTGTTGAATCATTAGTGGTTTCTGAAACTAAACACAAAGATAAAGGAGGAAAAAAATTGAGAGCCAATATGAATGTACACAATAAAGAAAGCTACAAAAAAAACATTACTAAAGCAAATCACGACTGACTTCCTCAGCAAATGCAAATTAACAAATAATGTGATCCCCAAGTCTTGCCAAAAATATGGTGGGTTTCAATGTGAAGCAATCACAATATTTACAAAATCTGTACAACTTTTGCCCTTAGGGAAAAAACTTAAAATAAAGCCAATTTCAATCAGTTTTTAATTCTCTACTTTATTCTTTGGCAATTTTATTGAACAAGTATGTTTTCAATTCTTTAGTGAAAAAAATGATTAAAATTATCATGGTCATCTTTACCTCAGAAAGCCCTAGCTCATTCCAATCTACCTCAGCCTATTATCAGAGGTAAAAATAAATCGTTTATACTATCCCAAAGTCTGTGGGGAACACACCAAACAGGTAATATATATATTTCATAGTACGTGCTTTTCTTTTAACCATTCATATAGACCCCAAGAATTGAGCAATGTAAAGCAACTTGGTGCACACATTAGACCCAAAAGCTTGAGAGCTTGCCCTAAACACCATATTACTAGACTTGCTCCCCATGGAAAGCAGGTGAATTCTAAATTCTCTGTCCTATTTACTCATATTCCCCTGTCCACTCATCCCCACAAATCTCCTGATCTCATAACTTCTTCCTAAATTCCATTCCATGAGTTGCAAATGCCTTTTTATTAAATATTTACCACAACAGAAATTTATACTTTATTATACTTTACTCTTACAAAGAATCTGCTCTCCTTTTCAGACCTGGAACACACACACTCTCCAAGAGTGATTCTTTCATTTCCCAGTGTAATTTCAAGATTTCTTGAAACAACTCTTTTTTTTTTTTTTGAGGCGGAACACATTGCCACCTATCCTCTCTCTCCTCAACACTATATCTTAATACTGAACCCAGGGTACATGCCTATAGCCACTGATAGTTCTTACACCTGGTTCATAGTATACCCACCACGTCCCTCCTGACATAGTTCTAGGTCCTTACTAGTATCATCAAAGACCTTCCTAAAAATGCCCATCTTGAATACCATCCCAGACTGAATAATAAGAACTAGACCCCCCCCCAGGTGACTCTCATGCACATTAAAGTTTAGGAAGAAATGGTATGGTGACCAATGTCTAAAAGATCACCTATCAAGAACCTGGCCTATCATTGATAATTTGATGTCATTGCAATTGTTGTTTTTTAAAATTTTAAATAAATTTATGAAAATACTTAAAGAAAAAAAAGTACCTCACCTCATCAATCCCCAATTTCTTATCTCCAAAGAACTTTCTCCACTTAACACTTTTGCCTCTCCTAGCCAACACAAATTCATAGATGAAGGTGCATAACTCTCATCTTTGCAGTAGTATTGCCTCTGGTCTTTAACACTAGATTATTACTCTAGCAATTCTTCTGCTTTCTCCCTGTTGATCACATCTCTGCAAGATAGCCACTTTCTTATCAATCAGAGGTTTATCTCCCCTAATAGATCACCTTTTTACCAATGTTCCAATTCTCTGCTTCTATTTTTCTCCTATGGCATCTGCAGGAAAACCCCAGATTTGATGAAGCTGTGAACCAGAAACTTTTCTGTGCTTCCCCCTAATCTGTACTCACACCCCTTCAGTTCAATGGAAGCAGCATTCTTTCATAGCACTCAGGACTGTTTCCTCTTGCCTTCTCAGTGACTGTACTGATTACATCTTCTCTCATCTTCATTTTCAACCTATCCTTTTCTATTGGTTCCTTCATATCAGCACTTTACTTTCTATTCTCTTTGATCTTAAAAACAAGGCAAAAATCACGACTTTCAACCTGATGAACTCTTCTAGCTAGCATTCACCTTCCCCATCTACCCTTTACAGTTAAACTTCTTAAACTGATCATCTCTATTTTCTCACTTCTCATTTCTCTCTCCACCCCTCTTTTTAAAGCTTCTGCCTGCCTTACTCCACAGAAACTGTTAAAACAGCCAAAGAGCAATAGATCTCCTTTTTAAATATGTGAGATCACCAACTATTCAATTCTCTTTCATTTCTCATTCAATTCTCTTAGTTTTTGTTACATTAAATTCTTTCCTTTCCTATATCTCTTGGATTCTTCCTTCTCAATCTCCTTTTCTGTTCCCTCTCTTCTTAACTTGGGCATTTTCAAAGTTCTATTCTTGGCTCTTTTTTTTCCTACCATTTTCCTCACTGCAATGATAATCCTATCCTTCTAGACCAAATCCTGTGTTCCAAATTCATATTCCTCTTTGGATTTCTACTTGCCTATCTAATATGCATTTCTAAACTCAACTCACATTTCCCCTCTCTTCCAGTCTATCCAGTATGTTTCAAGACAGAAGCCTGACCCAAACATTCAAGTCAATCACAATGTCCTTTATTGTATGTCCAAATATTCCTCGAGCACATATTCTCACAAGCCCACAGTCAGGTCACAAACATCTCTTCCCTGGGTTTCTTAATGGTCCCTGAGCATGAACAAATCCTTCTGTTCCCCTTTTTACTATGCATATTCTCTTTTGAGGGGGGGTGAGGAGGATAAACCATAATAGATTCTTGGCCTGGCAGCGTTTTCTACAATCCGGATTTTGCTGATTATATCTCTGGTTTTTATCATTTAAAACATGTTTCTCCATCCCTTGTATTTCCCATGAATTGGTAGTTAACATTCAATTTGTTTTGTTTTGCTTGGGAGTAGAGGGGGAGTCAAATCCACTTCAGAGGGAGTACTATGTAATTCATTAGGAGGTATATAATATGTTTTCCTACAATTAATAAATCCATTAATTCATTAAGAGTTTCCTACATTCATTTTTGCTTCTCCCTGATAATATTCCACACATTAGTCAGTCTGGTTTTTAAAAAATGCTAATTAGATCAGGTCATCTCCTCTTTCAAATCTTTCAACAGATTCTCACTGTCCTTAGCATCAAGTAGAGAATATTTACAATAGCTCTGTACAATCTTTACAATAGCCTTCCATGATTATTTCTATCTTTCAGTTTTATCTTACCATATGCCCAACACCACTGCTACACCAGAATTCCTTAGGTCCCTTTCTCATTACTATCTTTACACATATTCTTCTCAGACTACTATTCTAGCATAGGAAAATGCACAGCTTTATTTAACAAATTCCCATTCATCCTTCAACTTAATCTTCAGTGTATTGCCCTCATAAAGTAAGTTAAACACTCTTGCCAAATGCTTCCATAATATACTTAACTTCTCTTTTGTACCACTTATCAAACTTCTAATTAACTCTTCGATGACTTTCTCCCTTGCTCATTATAAATGAAGGCAGAGATCTTGTCTTGTTCACTGCTATACCTCAATGTGTAGTGCTGTTCAAAATAATACATGTATTTAATAATTAGCTTTTGTATTTAAATGCAATGGAAAGCTGGTTTTTGCTGGTACTGATAATGTTCCTTTCAAAACCATTATTTCCAAACTTGGGATTTGCTAACACCATTTTAAAGCATGACAGCTAACAGAGTTACCATGAATATATGAAGTTTCCAGCAAATACTCATTAAAGCCATTCAAAAATTATCACATGCCAATTAAAAAAAAAAATCTCTCCCCCAGGCATTCACTGAACTTTACCAATCAATTTTTTTTCTATTTCCTACTACAAAAACCTCTTCCCTCAGAAAGAATCAAAAAGTAACAACTAATGTTTTTTAAAAGTTAGAACTCTTACTTTTATGAAGAGGAAGGGGTTTAATAAGATCTGGCTGTGCTTGAGTCAGAGGTGCAGGTGGTCCTTTTCCTCCAATATGATTGTTCACAACAGGGTTCTGCTGTCTGCCTCTTAATAATGGAGACATACACCGACGTCTTTTAGGGATCCCTTGCATATTTGGTTCTCCAGGTCGTTTATGTTTATTTTGAGGTCCAGCCACAAATTCATCTGCTTCATCTATCATCATACCCTTTTTATCCAGCTTAAAGGGGTTGCCAAATGTATGCAACCTTCGAGGCTGATCAGGATCAAGTTCTCTTAGTGGAGAAGGTACTTGCTTGAGGTATTCTTGGTAATTCCCCATTTGTGCTATAGGAACACTGTGCACTTGATCTTTTACAAGAGAATACAACAAAAGTTATCCTCACTAAAATCATAGTTCATCTAGTTATCAACTATATGAATGCTACCCTAGTGCTATTCTAGCAAGTCTTCCCTTTTATTACATTTTCTCAATTAGTTTGGTGCAATTATAATAAGTTTTATGATAAAGTCTTTGAGATTTTTCAAGTTAAGTTTAAAATACCAATCTCACCTTCCAAATAAAACAAAAACAAAAATACTACAGTTACTCTCAGTAAATAAAATATGTAACCTTGCCATAAATGATACATGTCTTCTACTCTATTCCAAATAAATAAAATTTAATAATAATAATTTGTACAAAAAAGTAGTATAAATTATCTTTCTATATTTTAACCCCAGATGACCAAGGGTTAAACTATCATGAGATTATTTGTGAATGGTACCACGGGATATAGTAAGAAAACATTAGAACATGCCATGCAATGACCACCTAGATTGAAACCATCAGATACTAATATATGACAAGAAAATGAATATGTGTAAGACTATTTATATATGAGGAAAACCACAAAAAGGAAACTAAACGAAGATTGCTATCTCTGGGAAACAGAATTTGGGGCAACAGTGATGGTAGAGGGTAGAAAAATTAGGAATGATTCACCTTTTACTTCATTTGTTTAAATCTACAACCAGAAAATACTAATACTGAAACATTACCATACTTTTTCAGGTGATAAAGAAAAAAAGTTACCCCCAAAATGCTGAATGTTTTAATCATAATCTAACCTTCATCCTGTCCTTTAAGAAATTTGCGGGTGCTCTTCAAAAGATTAGATCTCATTCTTGTTAAGTGATCCAAAAGATTCCGTCTTGGTATGTCATAAGCATTTCTAAATGTCTGAGGCTTCAAATCCTATTGAAAGACAATAAGGACAAAATTTATTTTCAAACAAAATTAAGAGAGTAAAGACTAAAATCTCTAGCCTACAGCATAGGTCTGCAAACAAGATATGTAAAGTATCTAATTTCCTTAAGGGGAAAAAAGAGTCTACCATATTATGATAACCTTAATGTGCTGTTTTAGAGTGGGGGGAGAAAAAGGAAATTTGATAATGAGTGCAACCAAATAATTTCAAATTCACATCTAACTCTAAAGATATTTTTAAATGTTTTTATTAGTGCATAATAGTTATAATGATAGTGTGGTTCATTTTGACATATTCTTAAGTGCACATAAAAATTTGCTCCATTTCAATCCCCAGGACTTTCCCTTTTCTTTCCTTTCCCTGATTCCCTTCCTCTATTGTATTCCTTCTATTTATTTATTGGTTTTTAAATTGGTACATTATAGTTAATATATAAAGTATAGTTCATTGTGATATACTCATTCATGCATACAGTAGAGTTTGGTCAATTTCATCCTACAGTCCAAATTTTTAAAACAGAAAGTTTATTTTAGAAAAACAGATTGATATATAATTTACATAAAATCACTGCTTTGATATGGGTTGGTAAATTTATAGTTCCAAAACTATCACCACAATCTCAATCCAGTTTTAGAAGATTTTTGCCACCCCAGAAAATTCCCTATACTGATTTGTAATCAATCCCTATTCTCAGCCCCACGCAACCACTGATCAGCCTCCTGTCTTTCTATATTTTGTTTTATAAATAGAATCTTGCAATATCTAATTTTTTGTATCTGGCTTCCTTTATTTAGAATGATGTTCTTGAGATTCATCTGTATTATTCATCTACTAGTAGTCTGTTCCTTTTTCTTCCACAGCATTTCATTTAATGGATAGACAACATCTTTCTTTACCTAGTAGTTGAACACTTACATTGTTTTTGGCTATTAAACATATAAATAATGCTGCTATGAATATTTACATGCAAAGCCTTTTAGTTGAACATTATTTTTAATTCTCTTCAGTAGATATTTACAAATAGAACTGCTGAACTGTATAGCAAATATATATTAAACTTTTTAAGAAACCACAAACTATCTGCCATCAGCAATGTATGAGAATGCCAGTGATTCTACATCCTCACCAACACTTGATACTTTTCAGTGTTTTAAATTTCAGCCATTCAAACAGGAGTGAAGTGGTGTCTGATTATAGTTTTACCTGTTCATTTTTAAAAGTTTCTTCTGAAGATTTTCTCCTATGATTTTTTTTCCTAGAAATTTATGGTTTAATTCTTACATATCAGAAAATAATAACTTCAAAGAATATGAGATAAGGGTCAAGTTCAAAATATGTGGTGTTGGCATAAGAACATACAGATGAACAAAACAGAAGAAAGACTAGAAAGAGGTCCTCACATATAGTCAAACTAGTTTTTAACAAAGGTGCTAAAATAATTAAGTTGATTTTTAAAAAGTCTTTTAAACAAAGGATGCTGGAACAATCAGACATTCACTGAGGTTACTGTAGCTTTATAGTGAGTTTTATAATCAGATGGTGTAAGTCCTCTTACATTATTCTTCTTTTTCAAAATTGTTTTAGCTATTCTAGAACCTTTACATTTCCATATAAGTTTTAAAATTAGCTTGCCTATTTTTACAAAAAAAAAATGCTGGGATAAATTTAGTTTCAATAAGTATTCATAAAGCATTTTAGGGTCATCAGTATAGGTACCAAACCATATTGAATTCTATCATTAACTCCGTGACTCAATCTCTAAACCTCTATTTTTTCAATTATAAAATGAATAAGTTCATTCTTCCATCAATTCACCCATTCATTCACATACTATGCATAACTTTATTTAATTCTGAAATTCAATAATTCAATGATAGTTCTAATGATTATTATTCTGCAGAGGTAGAGAAGTACTTTCCAAAGTCTCAACAAACTGAATGTCAACAGAAAATTTGATTTATTCAATTATACAACAGAACATAACTATAATAGTGCTAAATCGAATATTACCTTATTTAGTAAAGCAACTTGGAACCCAGTGTATTCCTTCATATTAAGGTCTAGCAGTCTGTGAGGGAT